AGCTGATACAGGTATGCCATAAAAATCCTTGATGTTGATGCAACAGTGAGAAGGCTTTGTTGTCAGTTTTTTCAGTGTCTGGGGAGATGCGTGTTTGAAGGATTGAAATACACGTATTCCTTGGAGAGTTAGAGGTAGTTATCAATGATGATAATGATAAGAGTGAAAAATTGATACCATATTAACAAATGCAAAATGTAGCTGGTAATACAAGGCAATCTTCATTGCACTGCACTTCTCAAAGAACAGAAGTTAAACTCAATGCTGTATAATATTAATTAAAAAAAACCCTTAGGTTGCATGTACTGTTGTATTCTACATTCTCTGATATACCATTCTGTAACTTACTTCTTTCCCAGACTACGTAGTAGGTATGTTGCTTAGTCGGCACCATTGCTAGGTTTCAAGTCTTTCTATGTGTGGTACCACAAGAACTAGAACTAGTTGTTCTGAATTTCATTAGGGCATTGATTTACTGGTAGTTTGCAATATATAGTTGCTTGTGATTTGGTCTGGTCTTGCCTCATGTTGGAGAGCTCCTTCTGTATGTACATCTTGCCTACACTAGGTCAAACCATGAAGTAATTGGCAAGTGTGTGGCCAACTCATCTTTTGTCAAAAGATCACCTGTACACATGCAAAGCCAGAAAAAAAAATATTGGAAGAAGAAACTCTATTTGTAGTTTATTTACATTAAAGCTGTACTGTATAAATATTAAAGGTAACTGTTTTTAATTGGGAAGCTAATATCATATGTTCTTTTGTGTACTTACTTGATATTATCCGGTAGTAATCAGCTAGATTGATAGCATAATTTTGGCCATGCTTTGTCATGTTGAATAGTGGAGTTCACAAGGGCAATATTTCAATTATGTGACAAACGTACACAGGGTGCCTAGACTAGGTTTTAAACTGGTCATAATTTCACTGGAATTAGGATGACTGTATTTAGGGTAATTAATAGGGAATTCCTATTTGAGAAACTTCAGTGTTGCTAGATTACTTTTTTATGTTGTGCAAACAGCTCAGTTACTGTAAGCAACATGTAAATATTGAAATGAGTATAATTTCTGTATTATCGTTATGACTTTATCTTTTGTTCAGTATGTTTTTCCTCTCCTGACTTGCCTATTCTTGTTGATTGGAGGGAAAGCTTTGGGGAATTTTCACATGAAAAAGCACTGGCAGTCTTGCTTTATCCCCCGGTAAAAGATGTCTTAATCTTAACTCCTTCAGAAAACTACAGTTTAGATTGCTTGTTCCCAGCACAGAATACAATTTTTTTAGGGGGTTTTATTTCCAGGTCCAGCATTTTTACTTATATATGTATTTAAAAACAGTCTTAGAATAGTTTATATGTATGTATTAAGTTTCAGAATCTGTCATTTCAGGCTGGATTCATGCTGTGCTCACATCTCAGGATTGTATGGCTTTTGGAGGAAACTTTTTGCACAACCTCAATATTGGCATGCAGCTCAGGTTAGTCTCTGCTCTTCCTATACTTTTTCCTCAGTAAGTAGGATATTCTTTTAATAGGTATTTTTCTTCATGCTCTTAACCAGGATCAAATTGGTACAGGCTCTCAAACAGACAATAGTGGCATTTTCAGTTAGACTGTATCAAGCACATACTCTTACTTCATTTCTGCAAAGTTTGTTTCAAAAGCAAAATGAAGGGTATGCAAGAATTTAAGTGAATAAAGGGGGGAGAAAAACCCCAAAAAACAAACAAGCAAAACTCTACTTAGGAGATTAGCATAAGTGAGTAAAACAAAACTGAGCAAGCCCAGGTGTGCAACACTGAGTTGAAATGAGTGTCCGCAAGTCAGCATTGCTCTAAGGGCAGCTGTTTTAGTTTTTGTCCAAGATGTGGAGCTGTCTTCTAAACATATTGTTTTTATTTATTACAGTGGAATCCTGATAAAATTCCATCTGTTAAAAGATCACACATTGGGTTTGTATCCTAGTTTTATGAAGTCCAACTTTATTCTTAGAAGTGCCGCAGTCAAACTTGATAAGGTCAGAGCCTGGATGAGACCAGAGTTCAGTCTTGTCTGTGGTCTTGTTGGGATTTAACTATGTGGTACTTGACTTCTTTTATTTATCATGGCCATGGTTATTTTATTTTATTTTGGACATTGTGTCAATTTGAATGATTAGATCATTGAATAATGAATTTGATAATTAAAATATTCACATTTTGCGATGTTTCTATTTATTCAGGTGTTATGAAATGGAGAAGAGGCTAAAAACCCCAGATCTTTTCAAATTTCCTTTCTTTGAAGCCATCTGTTGGTTTGTGGCCAAAAATTTACTGGAAACATTGAAAGGTAATCCTTGTTTTGTTTTAAGAGATATATATGTATCTACTTTTTTTTTTTTTTTTTTCCCCCCATTGATAATGGAGAAAATTACACTGCTGTTGTGTGAACAGAGGAAACTTCTTAAGCTGGAAAACCAGATTTGAATTCCTTTATTTGGAAAAGTCACATTTATTTTTTTTAGTGAATGCTGCGCTGTGATAGTTCTAGATCCAGCAGTTCTTGATTTTAGTAAATGGTGTTTCTGAAAACTACTTCAGTCATTAAAGTTTTCTAGGGTAACTTGTGCTGTGCAGAAATCTTAGTACGCTTGGTGATGCATGTAGCATGCTGCTAGAACGTTTGAGTGACTTCATTAGTGTTTTTCATCCAATGCTGGTGATGTATCTGGTCAATGAAAATATTCCAGATTATCAAGACAGAGTATCTGAGATCCTGGCACAGCACAATTATACTACCAGCCAAATAGGATTAATTTGCCATAATCTGAAAAGACCTTGTGAAGGAAGATAGGAAGCTTATTTCAATGGCATCAGTTTTTCACTCAGTCTTCTATATCAATTATAACCTTTGAGTACCCTTTGGTAGTCTTTTTCTCTTTCTTTCAGCAAATGACTCTCTTAAATGATCACACTAACTTATATCTGTGGGTTTCTTCTTGGTGGCTTCACAGCTGAATTAACAGATTTTCTTGCGCTTCTGCAGTTTTATTTGACCTTTTCAGTCAAACTACCTGTTGTCTTCTGCTCTTTCTTGTGAAGGGAAAGGTGTTTGCAAGGGCTTTTGTAAGAAAGATGCATCAGTTCCTATGAGCTGTGTTAAATTATTTATATCAGTGCTTATCAATAGACATCTCAACAGCCTCTTGTTCCTGACAGTTGCTGGTCCTTTCCAAACTTCCTCATCTATTCCTGTAATTCCTATATCTGTACCCATGTGTAATTGATCTTGAGAGAGTGCCTGTCTGACTTCACCTTCTTTTCCTCAAATATTTTGCCCTCTACCTGCTCTATTTAATCTTATTAATAAATGTCATATTCCAAACGATGTATTTCAAAGGAGAGAGATCAACCTTCAGAGGAGGCTGCTGAATTCACCTTCTGCTTTGGAAGAGATCAGAATCTCACGTAACCTTTTTCTAATATGAAAACAGTCGCAGTTACTGGAAACGATCTATTCTCCTTTCAGCAAATGAAGGCATTGAACAACCCTTGTTTCCTAAACGAGCATTTAAAGTTTCTGGATGAACCTAAAGCAACTCAGAAATCTCACCAAATAAAACAAACTTGCAGAAATTTTTTTTCTTCCAAAAAGGAGTATTTTCTTCTTCAAAGCTTGCTTTGGTTGGTCTCATACCTGCGTGTTTAAAATTTATAAACTCGTCAGA